TGGCGTTGTTGATGGCCTGGTCCATCATGCGGCCCTGCAGCAGCTCGCTCTCCTTCTCGTACAGGAACGCGGAGCCGTAGCCCACGTCGAAACCGTGGCGCTTCTCACCTGCGAGAGAGCAAAGGGCTGCGGTTATCCCTGCGCATCAAGGATCCCAAATCCGCCACACAATTCTGCTGGGCTCAACGGTTCCCTGCAGAAAAGATGACGTTTATATAACAGAAGTTAATTGTTTTATCCCTGCGCGTCAAGGAGGATCCCAGATTCGCCGCGCTCTTCTGCTGGGCTCAAAGGTTCCCTGTGGAAAAGACGACATTTATACAACCGTTTATATAATAGAAATAAATTGTTTTATCCCCGCATGCCAAGGAGGATCCCGGCTCCGCCACGCTCTTCTGCTGGGCTCAATGGTTCCCTGTGGAAAAGACAACATTTATACAATAGAAGTCAATTGTTTTAAAGTCCAAGACTGCCGGAAGCAAAAAGCTAATTGATCAGGTTGTAACGAAACTTATAAGCCAAGCCATTGATATTTTTTAATTATTATTCTAGGATGCAATGGAGAGAACATCAAGAAGACTTCCATATATTAATATCTCCCATCTTTTTTTCTAAAACACAAATGATCATTTGTGAAAGAAAAAAAAAAAGAGCCTGTAAAAGAGCTAATCGATTACTAACCAAAGGCCATTCCAGACCTTTGGTTAGTCCAGGGCTCCCGGATTCCAGCTCACCCTTCCTGAACCGTCTCCTTGCTTTGTGGAGAATCTTCCTCCCAGTATTTCGCGAATTAAAAGTAACAGAAACGGTGCAGATTCCCAGCCATGACATAATCAGCTTCCTCCGACCCGCGGCTGCTTTGCATTTGACACAGATTTTCAGATAATCAAACACGGGCAGCCACGTCCATATGTGCAGAACAACAGACTTGGGGTGACTTTATAGGAGGGTAATAGAAGAGGAACAAAACGTATTTCTCTGAATAATCTCGTTTAAACTGAGAGGGAGGAGAGCAAAGAAACTGCACGCCGGGAATTCCGCTCCCATCTCCTCAACAAGGGGCAGGATGCGGAAGGGCCGGGTAGGGAACACCCTGCCACTAGATTTCCACATGCCAGGTGCAGGATGGACAGAAAACTGCCCCCCAAAAGGCATAAAGCTGCATTTTTGGAAATGTCCAGACATAAGTAACTGAATTCTGTAGTTACACAAAACTTTAAATTGTTCACAGACTAAAAAAAAAGTGGATTAGACCAAGCGTTTCACACGCAAGTGACTTGCAAACATCACATCCACTAATCTTTGAGTTACGGTAATTTGAGGAGATGTTTATCAGTCACCTGTCAACACCATGACTCAACGCACACGAAACTCATCGAGTTTCACTGCAAAGGCAGAAAACCCAGGAGCTCACGTTTCTTTTATAGCACACGCTCCAAAAGGTTAGCGAACCACAAGAGCGTAACTGCTTCCAGGCCTCGGCAAGGCCCGCGATCCGGCGGCGCACGGGAGGAAGCGCCGCGGCCGGGCGCGCTCGGGTGACTCATAACAGCAGCTCCAGCTCCAGCAAGCGCATTTGAAGCTTTAAACAAGGAAACAAAAGCAAAAATCTCCAGGGTAAGTTTGGGATAACACTGTCCTCAGGAGGCACTAAGAGGAAACAGTGATTGCTGAGGCTCTCGCACTGCTTTTCTGCTCTTTTTTGGGCTTAAAATCCCAACTAAAGCTTATTTTGCCTCGCTGAGGTGAGCGGTGATATGGAGTTAATGCAAACCCGTGTTTCCAGCCTCCTGGGATGTCTCCCTGCTGCATCCGCCGTTCCCAGAAGCGGCCTCGGCTCCGGGAAGGACAAGCACCGTCCTGCAAGGCAGACGGGGAGGAAATGGAAGGGTTAAACAGGGGGATCCCTCTGCTTTGGCTCAGCAGGAGCCCAGGGAAAACACAACTCCGAGCCTGGCCAAGCTGGAGCGGCCTCCGTCGAGGTAGGATGGACCTAAGTGTGACACTCGAACGCCAAATTGTGCCACAATCGAGGGGAAGGGGGGCACTTTTGATGCCCCCCAAGGCAAACACAGCCAAGCTCTCCATGGAAAACAGTTAAAAGTCCTATGGGTGTTTTCTATAACACAGGAAGCGGTGATTCAGAGGAAGGGAGAGGAGCCTGGGGACCTGGGGGACGAACAAGCTGGACTGTGCCCAAAGCACTCGAGGGTTTATCCCTGCCCGGCAGGACAGCGAGAGCGACAACCCAGAGCGAAGCCGCGCTCTGCACCCCAGGAAGTGCCACAAAGTGATTGCAAAACACTCGATTGAGCACTTCATTTGCAGGGGCTGATGCTCATTTACCAAGCAGCCCCTGGCTTAGCTAAAACACCTTTTTTTTTTTTTCTTTCTTCTCTCTGTTTTTTTGGTCTCGGTGCGATGCAGAGCCGTCCCCCTCGCAGTTCACGCCTGGGTGCCGGTGTCGGCCGCGCGCCGCTCGCTTACCCGAAGGCGGAGGCGGATTTCTGCAGGGCGCTCCCATGCCACGACCACCGTCCCGCTGCTCCAGGAAGCGGATTCCTAACCCTACCCTCAGGGAGAACCCTATGGAATCATTATTTAGGAGAGCAGCATCTGCACAGAGCAGCTACCGATGCAAGAAACAGCGGGCAAGAGTGCTCATGCACGTGGAAATCTCTGTAGAACCATGAAATAATAATGTTGTTTTCTTATCAGCAGACTCCCAGCAGGATGAGCCAAACCTGGCCTGGCACACGCGTTCCCTATCCCTGTGTCCTGCCATCCCATTCCGGGAATTCCGTTTCCCAAGAAATCCCACAGCTCTCCTGGCAGATCTGCATTCCCACACATGCGGTTCAGAAAGAGTCAGACCCAGGTCGGACACGTCGCTGCTGCAAAGACGCTTCCCAGGGATAAAAGGGAAGGAGTGAGTCACTTTTTCACACATTACCTAACAAGAACACACCAATAACAGAGGTTTTAGAAAAACCGTAAGTTTCAGACATCAGTTATTTTATGCCTTTAAGTAAATGGCCACAGTTCCTCTAACTTTTCCCCAAAAACTTTTGCATGACGGTTTCAGTTCGCGCTGTCTGCAGACACTATTACTGAGCCCTATCACAGGGCTAAAACTGCATCTATTCCGCACAGCAAGGAGCATGTGGGTACAACCACCAAGCAACACACCAGTACTTACGTAGAATTCGATGCACGTGCTAAATTAAGCAGTTTTGCCCTGCAGAAGTGTTTAATAAAGGCATAAGGACGGAATGGGGAGTCACTGCAAAACAAGACGCACGAAGCTGCTGTCGGCGCCAAAGGAAGCTAAAGATTTTCAAAAACACTTGCATTAGTCTTACATTTTGAATCACGGCATGACATGTACGGTCTAAGCCACCCTGTCAACAGTTTCAGTATTAGGTACCCCACGGCACCGAGATGGAGCGTGCTGGTGTCACTTCTGTATAAAAGGGTGACATTTTAAAAACTATACTATAGCATCTAAATAAAAATGACCCATTTTCAGAGATTATGAACGTCTAGTATCACCCAAAGCCCCCAAATCAACATTACCTTTAAAAAAGTCAGTCAAAAAGGCAGTCTTTCTTATGCATTTATGAATTTAGCAGCATACCTTGCCCTGGGTCTGAGCCTTAGCCCCAGGAGTTCGAGCAGGCTGCTGGGGACCCGCCTGTCCCCACGTGTCCCCTCCCCGCGCGTGGGAGCCACCGCAGAGGTGGCCGTGCCGAGCACGGGGTTTATATTCAATGTCCAGCACCACATTTATCCACCCAGAATATTGCAGGTGAGACCTAATATCACAGAGCTGCTCAGGAAAAGTCTTTACTTAGACCAAGGGCAAAATCTCAGCTGCATTTTCCTTCCACAAAGGGCAGGATAATGAAACACAACCAGCCAACAGGATCAGGCAGCCGCTGAAATAAAGAAGCTGCCAATAAGCTTATGATTACATAAAAATTAAACTGATGAGCTCTTTTAATTAAAAGAAAGCCCCTTTATTTTCCTATTATGACGCACAGCAGATTTGGTTACATAAAACTACGGATTAATGCACCTATTTCAAACAGCTTCTTGGCAAAAAGAAAATAAGTTCAAAATTTTCTAGTTTTTATAGGAATATGTAAGTCTTAATCATATCAGCGGTCTTTTTTTCTAGTAAATTAATAGATATAATTTTAAACATTCTGAAGTGAAATTACAAAAAAAAATACATAAGTGAGTTATAGAAAGCAGTTAAATTTGCTAAATTAACAGGTGAGATCCAAGGTGCAACACTGAGTCAGCAGTGACTCACAACACTCCCAAATTCCGCTGTTCCCGGCCTCATTCCGCACGTGTCCTACGGGACCTGGGAAGGTGGTGACAGCCCAAGCCCTTCTGCTCTCGTCCTGCAAAGAACCTAGCGAACAATTCAACATAGAACTGCAGAAAGCCACTGCAAAACAGGTCTACAGGCGGCTGTAAAAATCATTATTGTACCCAACTTACCTACAACAAGTCAGCAAAAACATCACAAAATTAAAATTACGTTAGTCACATTCTCTTGCACTCGACTGGATTATAAACTCAAAAAGGACATTTAAAATAAGCAGTGGCATTGTACTGTAGGTTACCACCGCTGCCGTATTGAACTGTTGCACAAGAAAAGGCTTTTTGTTCTTACCAATAAATTTCTGAGGCATTGAGCTTTTCCGCTTTGCCACGTTGCTCGCTAGCCTGTCCAGCACAAGGGCTCTTTCACTCCCCATCTCTGCCTTCATGTGCCTTGCCTCCACGTTTGCTAGTTTGGAAAATGTGAAAAGACAAAAAAAAAAAAAAAAAAAGGAAAAAAAAAACACAAGTAGGTGAAAAGGAAAAAAAATATAAAGAAAGAAAAAAGGAAGAAATGAATGGTTTAATCTCCGGAGTTTGCCACACTAACTGGGAGGAAGCAGTTTGGAGCTCTGATGTAAACTTGTTTTGTTGCTTTTTCTGTTGTTCTTGCTTTCTGCGCCTTGGGCACCCGTTGCGGTCAGTGGAGCCAGCGCAGGAGCTCACGCTGCTCTTGCAGTCCTGAGCTCACGCAGGGAGAGCACAGAGCAAAGCCAGCGCCTGCATTAGCAGGAGGAAGTGCAAAATAAACACGCTGGACGGGCTGGTTGCAAAATGCAGATGGAGATACCAGCCGTGGTGCCTTGCTTTTTGATTTTGAGTAATGCTGCGTGACACCTGCAGCTGACACAGCTCCCCAAAACTGCAGTATGAGACACTCGCTCCCTTTGCTACCCTTAACATCAGTCATGCATAGATGTCTTAACTGAGTACTAAGAACACATACAAAAATACATCCATATTGCATTAAAATAAAGCCATAACCTTTCTGGATTCACTAACTCTTTTCTTTTCAAATCCCATTATCACTTCTTCGATCCTTTTCCAATTACTACAGGGGAAGGAAACGGAGACTGTTTTCCCTTGGTGCTCCTGTGAGCGTTCCCAAGCTTGCGGGAATACCTGGAATTTCTCCCTTGGGAATGGCTGGGGGACGCTGCGGAGGGGCTGCCACCTCATCCCGCAAGCTTGGGGGAATACCTGGAATTTCTCCCTTGGGAATGGCTGGGGGATGCTGCGGAGGGGCTGCCACCTCATCCCGCCAGCGCTGCCGCTTCCGAGCAGGGGCAGCGCGAGGGGGTCGGGATCCGGGAGCGCCGGGATGGAAACGGCCGGGAATTTCAGGGGGCTGCCCCGGGGTTTAAGCTAACAAACATAGAGGTGTATGAGAAGCAGCAAGGGGAGGTCCCTTCCTGGAATAACACGTAAAAGGATGGATTTCTCGGGAAGAGAATCCTGGCTGCTCTGCTGACGTACCCACGTGCAGCAGCACCAAATCTACCCAAAACATAACAGAGAAGCAGCACGTAACAGAGGCAAGAGCAGGGGAAAATGTGACAGGCATGGGCATTGCTGCAGACCTAAGTGCACCTTTCTGAAGCATTAGACCTAAATTGGAAGTTTGCTGAGCACAGCACGAGGGAAAAATGCAGCATCACCCTTCCAGAGCTTACGGTGCAGCATTTCCCTGCCATTTCTAAGTAAATTTCTCCTTGTTGTTCCTGTTATCGATAGGAGTTTCAGTCGGTACAAACCATGACTCACCAAACCTCAGCCATAACTAGCTGTTAATGTTTGTACGGCGCTTTGAGAACGTGAGGTGCTTCATGAGGGCTCCACGCCACAAAAATCAGCTCTGGAGATGACTCAGGATGGACGGAGGGAGAACAGGGCTCAGCTCAGGACTGTGTTAAGCTGGTTTCATGGGGCTGCAACCCCAGCACATGCATAAGAACCAGCCAGGGAGAGCACGAACACTCAGGGCTTTGCAAACAGCAGGATCTTCCTTTTCTGCTATGATTTTGATTCCAGATTCCTCTCCCACATTTAAGAAATGTGCATATTTATCCAGAGAATTTCATCGGCTGCTGAAACGGAACTGCTTCCAGCCTGAGATGGCACCCAGGGACTACCTAGCAGTTTACCCACAGCGAGGCAAAAATACCAAATTCAGTGGAAACTATAAGGGAAAGTTAGGCAAAACACTGGCTTTTGTCCAGAAACTCTTGTGACTAACTTAACTGCAATTTTAAACTATTTTGGTAAAGTCATATCCCATACATCCTTGTGGAAATAGAAATACCATGATCCCTGCCATTTCTTTCCTTGCTTATTTTTTTTTTCTAGTTCCTTTTCCCCCTCTCATTCTTCAACTTCAAGGGCTCTTGTGCTATTAATGATCCCTGCCATTTCTTTCCTTGCTTTTCTTGTTTTTTTGTTCTAGTTCCTTTTCCCCCCTCTCATTCCTCAACTTCAAGGGCTCTTGTGCTATTCAAACTTTGCTTTCCCTTCGCATGCTCCACATTTTTTCCTTTATCTTCTGCCCAAACTCCAAGAGTGGAGCCTCTGTAAGGGGACTTGGGCAGCCTCAGGAAGAGCCTGGAAGTGCCACGCAGCGTCTCAGTGCCCTACTTGTCAAGGTTATTTATGTGCCACCAAGGGAACTTTATTACATTAGTGTCAAAAGGGCAGACAAGTGGCTTCCTGCAGAGGTAACAATAGTTACTGTCTCTTCAGCAATCTCTTCTGAGTGATGATTATTGACCTACATAGTGTGTTCTGGGACAGCTGTAAATATCAATCTCCTAGCTGGATGTCTGCCTGCCTCTTTATTTTAAAGCTAAAGGTCTTTTCTTTCACATTAAGATTTTCTACTGCTTGTCAAGGGCCATTTTTTCCTGAAGTCTTCTCTATTTATAGATCACAAAGGATCTTTGATGATGCTTCTAATAGCTCTAGGAAAACATAATCTACTTCCACCGAGACAGGGCTAGTTGAAAGGAAGCTAACTTTAAATGATCTCCACCTTTTAATTCTTGACCATTTATTAAACAATCTAAGAATAATGTTTAGTAATTAGGAAGCACTTTTTTATCACTCCAAATCCACTAAAGACAGACTGAAGTCCTAACTCCTCCTTCAATTACTTCTATCTGCTAGAAGATTTCACTATATATATGCCATTTAAGGAACTAGCTACCTAAATATATCATGCATTGACCATACAACAGCTCAGAAATCTTTGTGGATAGATTTTCTTCTGAAGATGTTCTATGGAGGTGATTTATCCCTTGGAAATGACTATGTGGGTTTTGTTCTGATCACTAGATGACAGATCCCCTCTTCATAAAACTATGTTCTCAACTAATGTCAGGCTGCAGAGACACAGAGAGCTCCTCTCCAGCCCCAACCATGAGCACACGACCATGCAGCCCCAACTCAGTAGTTTCCACAGTGTGGTTTGTGTCACACCGTAACCGTGAGGCGAGTTTTCAGCGCGGGCATCGGCAGCAAAACCCTCAAGTACAAAGCGGAGCTCAAATTAGAGGCATTGCTTCCTGTAGCATCTCTGTGTGGTCATTAAATAATGGAGAGTGGAACGCAGAGGTGGGTAATTGTGCAACAAGAACAATGCGGCCAGAGATTGTTATCGGGGATGCAGCAACGTCCCAGCAATACTTAGAGGTGCTTTGTAATTTTTTTTTTTTTTGAGGTATTTCCATCCTGCTGCATTTGGCACATGCAGGTTTCATGCTGAACAACTAACTGTGCTCGAGTGCTCGAATGAGCTGCTGGATGGGATGGAGAGCGGGCACGGAAAGATGCCCCCGTATGGGAAGGCTGCAAGGGCTTCAGAACAGAGGACTACGGTTCCAAATGACGTAGGTAAGCAGGGAAGCAGTCAAAAAAACAAAAAATGTTCATTAAAGAGCAAAGTGCTACACTCTGAAGAAAAAAAACCAACCGAATGCACGGAATGAGCTCTTGAGATTCTTTCCAGCCTCACTTTTCTGCCATTCTCTGATGTAATATAGTGCTGATACCAGCAAAGTGAATGCCTCAGCAAGACCAGAGTTCCTGTTTTTAATAAAACTCACTACTCCACCAACAACACTGCAGTATTTTTCAAGTCTGAAGGTCTTAAAGGCGTAGGGAACAGCCACATTGTGCTGAACTGGAGATTTACATTTCCTTTGTGACCAATTTACTAGAGTAAGTACATTGCAGATTCCGGATAAGTGACATGTTGCTATTCTGAAATGAATATAAACTATGGGAATCATTTAAAGCAGAAATCTATATTGGTATCATGTTTTCTATTTTCACGTGGTGGGCATCTCAGAACGATTGCCATCATGGGAGCTTGTACTGTAACATCTACAGTTACAGCATGTACGGGTTCTCACGAAAATCAAAACTTGCTGATGCTCAGATAACCACTGACTTTTACTAATGCTCTATAAAACCATGACTGGGTGAAAAGCTGACGCTCCATGAAAAGCTAAAAGACTAAATTAAAACGTTTCTTTCCGGCATGAACATGTGTCTGTACCTCAACCCACTGTGCAGGGGTGAACAGCAGCCACAGAGTTGTCCTGTGCGCATGGCTCTTCCCATGAGTTTGGGGGCCTGTCCTGGGATGATGCTGGAGATTTTCTGCTTGATAATCAGATCACTCAACACAATTTTGTCACTATTAAAGGGCCTTACACTGCCATCTTTCTAAAATTAATTGCACAAAATTTCAGTCTGTCTTTTTGCTCGAGAAGAAATGCTACTTGGGATCCACTATCAGAAGGAGGAAGCTTGACACTTGCCAGTTTTTTAAGGCTACACAGCAGGACAGGAACCTGACTTGTGAAATTGTCATCTCAGCCCTGGTATGGATCAGTTTGCTAATCGCTGGGCTAGTCACAACGTTTCCACAACTCTGAGCAGGAAAAGTTACTTCCTGACTCATTAATGTGGGACTTCAGTTCAATTTGAAGTGTTCCAATTAAGAAGGCTCAAAGAAGAAGGTAGTTATTTTTTCACTGAAATGTTTTCAGAAATCCAGCATTGAGACTGTGCAAAGGAAAACACAGCATCAAGACCATGTGTTTTGATCCATTTTACCTCCATCATTTGGAAAAAGCAGCCCTACACCAAGCAGCCCTTTCCCTATGATCTTCAGGATAATATTCCATTTCTGTACCGCTAAAATGTCTGCCAATTCCAACTGATTCTGACCAGCAGCTCTTATTCTAAAGAAAAGGAAGCACCAAGTGGACTGACAAAGGTGAACAACTGCTGATAACAATTATGTACATCAACTGACCTAATAAAAAAACACCTCATAATAGCATATAGGAATTCCTATATTACAGCATAATATAGGAATAATTTAACCTATGGTGAGTGTCACCTGCAGAAATGCTGCATAGAAGGTAATTCAGACATTTTATTCAAAGTAACTGTGAAATAAAAAAGTGATTAAAATAAAAGCATTTTTTAGCTAGTTGCTTGAGGGAGGCATTAAACCAGACCCCCTTTATTAGGCATTGAAGCCCCTTAGGTTACTGAAAATTACTGTAATAAAAAGTGTTCTCAAGCTATAAATTAACAGCTTACCATATGCCCTTTTTTAAGCACTGTAATGTACAGAAAAAAGGCACTGTAACATGATAAACTTACCCGTCTCACACACGCCAGCATTCTGCAAGTAAGTACGGCACCGCTCCTTGTGCTCCTCTAATGAGCTTCTTTGTTTGTAGCTTCTTCCACAAAACTCACACTTGTACGGCTTCTCCACTGGAAATAAAACAAGAGAGCCCAATAAAATAACCACGAGAGGCCAATAAAGCGATGCCTTGCTGACATCCAGTGTAGAGTTACTGAGAGCACAACATTTGGCTCTTGGGGAATGCTTTAAATTTCTATAAACTTTACGAGCGTTGTAATTATCACAAACTTGGATTACATGAGGGTGAAATCCTCCAGGCACGGCGGGTTCCTGCCAGGCCCTCCTCATTCCCTAAGCTCAGCGCTGCAGGAGAGGATTTGGGATTAGCCGCTGTTCCCAGGGGCTCGGGTTCCTAGAGCTCGACTCCAGGGGACTAGTTTTTCCTGGCATAACTTCCCTTGGGAAGCCTAAGTGCATCCTGCTGAGCAGAGGGGCAGCTCTAACTGCCTCACTAGGTCTCCACGTGGAACTTTCACGGATTTCACAAAACTGAACAACTTCAACCAACCCCAGACCTGTCCCCATTTCATTTCCAAAGCCATTTATTGTAGACTGAACACATTCCTAGTTACCTTAAGCTAAGACAAACCTGTTTGAAACTAAAGATATCAGCACAGCCTTGCATGAAAAGGCCTAAATGCTCCCTGAATTATCTCATTTCCCTCTTGTGCACAGACCTTCCCTAACACACACGGGAACATCATCATTCCCAAACACGGCTATGCTCCCTACTGCTAGTGCAATTATTCATTTATGATACACTTAAGGGGATTTTCTTTAAAGCTTTTAATAAAGCAGCTCCTAAAAGCCTCACTCACAGTAACCACCTGATGTGTTTGAAGATGTTTTTATCTCAGTGTTGATGGGGACAGTTAGCACTGGGGCTTGGTCAAATCAGAATCTCATTTATCCGTGTCAGATAATCTCCTTTTTAACTTTGATTCTTTGTGAGGTTAAACATTTTTCCTGTGAAGTGCAGTGCAGAGATAATATCTGTAATTTTGAACTAATGCTTTCTTTCTAAGGCTGTGTGTAAAACAGGACACACACAAATCAAAGAGCAAGCACAACCTGGCTGTTAAAGAACGGGACTAACCGTGATGAGCTGATTTACACCTGCCTTGTTGTTCAGGTCACCCCAGCTCCACACCTCTGCTTTTCCCACCCGTAAAACGGACGCAATGCCCTGGCAGCCTCGCAAAAGCAGCAGTTGTTAAACACCTTAAGATATTCAGATGAAAGGCACTACCCAGCACGGAGGTATTAACAGGCCATAGAGCAACCCGGCCCGCTGTCCTCGCCAAGGACAAGAGCAGAGCGTGGCCTGGGATGGCTCCGGGACACAACGGGCAGCACGAGGGATCCCTGTCGGCTCTTCGGAACGAGCCTGGCTCAGCCAGCCCTGTATTTTCCGCAACGAGTGTCCTAGTGACACAGATTTCAAACACGTGAAGTGTCTTTGAAGTCACTTACCAGAATGTGTCCTTAAGTGACCCGTTAGCGCATCCCTCCTTTGGCAGGCATAACTGCAAAGATGACATTTAAAAGGTTTTTCCCCTGTATGTAGTTTAATGTGGCGGAGGAGGTTACCCTTCTGAGTAAAGGAAGCTCCGCACTGATTACACTGGAATGGCCGTTCACCTTAAAATGACATACAAAAAAGGACATTTAATGGTTATGTGGGTATCACGCTATCCTCGTACCCTTTTCTTTTTGGAAGAGGAAAGAATGAGATGCTGGACCTATTTCTTTCTATAGAAACATACGCTGCCCTTCCGCTGACTTCAGTGGGAGGTACACGCAGCTCTGCCCTCAGAGCCTCTCATAATATAGGTTAAACTATGGTAAACACCATGCAGATTTTCCATGGAAATAGTGTTCTGCGGGAGGCTGCTTCAGACCTGCTAGCAATTCAAAAAAATAAAGTCTCACCTTACTGAGCGGCTAACCTAAGACGCTCACGCATTTATTGCCAAATTATAGCACGAAGAAATACAATGCACAGACTGGAAATGGCAGCACAAAAAACAACCTAACTCTGGTTTTGTGACCGAAATATTAAAGCGACATAGTGCCTTTCATCCAAAAGTCTTAAAATGCCTCACAAACGTGCTACTACTTACATTCAGCCTTGGTGAGAGAAAAGGTGAGTGAAGCGAGGCACAGAAAAGTTAGTAACTTGCTTAAAGATCACAGGTGGAGTCAGGGAGAGAATGAAGAAATCTTGATTTTGGTATCCTCCTTTTAAGCAAACAGTCCATATTAAAAACCACCCTTTCAGTATTTAATTTTTGCAGGAACAACATAAGGATATTTACCAGTGTGGCTACGCTTGTGAACCATCAAGACATTGAGGCTAATGCAGGCTAATCCACAGATATCACAATTCATCTTTCCACTAGCTGGCCTGATGTTGTCATATGAACCAGAATGTCTCTCCAGTTTAATGCTTTCATACTCGTTATATTCTCTGGGATAGCTGTAAGGTATTTCAGATTCTTCTGTATTTTCCATAGGCTCTGAATGTAAAGCACTCTCCTCTCTTTCACTGTATTCACCTTTCACTTTAACCACATCATCTGCAGGTAAAACACAAAGCACAAAAGTGAAAACACTATTGAACTACCTGAGAAAGAAATCATAGCAAATTACACAATATTATATTTTAAAAAAAAAAAAACCTTACAAGCTTTACTTAAACTCACAGAGATGAAGAAATGCAGCTAGGAGATAAATCTGCATGGGTCATGTCTGCTTGATAATAGTCATAATGCATTAACCTTTAAAAACATTGAGCTGCCTGTTGATTAGGAGGAAATTATCCATCAATATTGCATATTATAAAAATATAACACAGTATATAGTTCTACAATTGCAATTGTAGGGCACCGTCCTGCACTCAAAGGAAAATCCTTACTCTCTCAATTCACACCTAGCCCATGCAAGTGAGTGTCAGGGAATCTCCTGGGAAATCACAACACAGAAAAATTAAAAGGATTCTCACGTGTTCGTGTGGAACCTGCTTGCAGACTGGATATAAAGATTTCCAATCCAGTTGAAGCCTTCCGCAGTATTGCATAGAAAAGAGAGCCCCTTTCACCTTGCTTGTCATCACCCATCCTAATCAATAACCTGGCTTTCAACTGGAACTTTTATCTAAAGATCTTAAATGTTTGAGGAGCATCCCATAATACTGACATCCACACAGTAAGATTGCTATTTACGTGGCTTAATTTGCTTTCCACTATTAACTCCACCATTACTAGCACTTGTATTAAAACCAAGCATCAGGACGGGTATTTGCAGATTAAAGCTGATTTTTCTATGTAGACGGGAGCTGGGTTATGCCTGAAACTTGAGTTATGCCTCAAGCTACCAAGTGAAGAAAAGTACTAAGAGATGAAATACATAATTTCCTGTTTGAAAGTACTGTTCTTGTGGCCACCTGCTCTTCTCTCAAACCAAGGGTTAGACAGTTAAATATGGCATTTAATCACTTGTCCTTTCTCCAAAGTACAGAACCTGGACTACTGAATATGTATTAGCTCTGGTTCTGAGTAATGAACCACATCAAGTGCAGAGAACAAACAATGGGTGATAGTGAAAATAAGGTGGCAACATAAAAGCAGCGCTGAAAAATAAAAATCTGGCACCAACGCGTTCACGAAATCAAGATTTCCAGCTGCTGTTTGGGGATAAAACGACTCCTTTTTCCTCGGGGTTTGCACCAAGTCCAGCCAATCTGGCTTTCTTTGGGCTAAACTGGGGTGCAAGAAGCAACTGGCTGATAGTTACTTCACCCAGTGGAAGAATCCACAGTAATGTGAAAAACTCCAAGAGATCCCTCTTAGCGATTACACCAGATGTTGCTGTCCAGAGAACATTTTTCTCCATATTGTGTTTTTCCTCTCCATATTGTGTGATCTTTATTCCCTCTCATAGGCACTTTTTAGAGTCAACATTAGAGCTGGCTGCTCAGATGCCAGGAGGGCTTGCCCAGGCTTTCATGTTTGCTGGGAGATCACACAGACACCTGGATTCACCTATAAATGTGCAATTTGTCTCTGCATCTGCTTCAGGACCAGCCTCGCTTCACATCCTGGCTCCTGCTTCCACTGAAACGGCTTCCTCAGCTCCGGGTCTCAGGGCATTAGGGTGATCCTGTTCGCAAAACTCTTTCTCAAGTTATTTTAAGCACCCATTTTCCGCATTTTAAGGATTTTTTTTGCCAGTTACTGAGAGCCAATTTCAACAGAACCCCTTTTCCAAAATATTTTGGAACCGCCTCCCTTTGAGAAAACAAAAAAAGCGCAATTTGTCACGTCCTGCCCAGCATGGCAGAAGGAAGCACACGCTGCAGCTGCACCTTGTTGCTACTTTCAGAAGCGATTTCAATTCCCACTTTCTATTTAACGTCTCACCTTCATCCGTGCACCATGAGCACAATTGCTGAAGGGTGAAGGCCTGGCTGCAACCTCCAGCAGGGAGGATTTCTGTGCCGTTTGCTGCTGTTTCTCACGGCAAGCTCATGGTTCACAGCTTTTCGCTCTAGCACGGGGTTATGGCACTCTTGGTGTGAACGTCACCTTGATTTCCACCTGGCAAGCACTTGCTGCCCGGGACAACCTGGGGACGGCATCCTACGGTGGAAAAATCAACCTTTGCATTTTCCAGGGCGCGTCGAGACCGCCGGCGCGTTGCTGTTTTCTCGCAGCAGAAGGGAAGGATGCACCTGAGCTCTGATCAAGGCTTTTCCTCCGCGGCCGCCCCCCCCATCGCCCCCAGCAGCCGCTCGGATCCCACCAAGCTCTGAGGGCTTTGCAGTTTGCACGTAGGCGTTTAAAGAACCTCAACGGAAAAATTCAACTTCTGATGACGGCAAACAACAGCCAGAAGCCATTAAGGAAGAGGCTTTTGCACTGAGTAAACAGTAGAGAAGTGCTGGAATTCCTCTAGCCCGGCGCACTGGTTATAGCCCCAAGCCTGGGGATCCTACCAGGCCTTTCTGCTGGGTGAGAGGGTGACACAGAAGCAAGTTCTGGTGCAAAGGAGCCCAAGGCAAAGAGGACTCAGTATCATCAGCCTATAATTAACAAATTGCAAAGGTCTCAAGCAGCCCAATGCCATTTTCAGCCCCAGACTTTTGCTTTGTATCCTGGCACTCCTTGTCTCTGTCACTTGAAAAGCACATTAATATATTAATGTGGGATCAGGGTGAGATCAGTGAGCGTCCAGGCTTAACCAAGGGGAAGGTGATGGTCAACATCAGCTTGGAAAGGGAAATTTAAGTGAAGAGCACCATTATCCCTAACACTAGCAAGGCTCTCTGGGTTGGAAAGAGAAGTGTTATCATCTCTCCTGCACTTAGAAAACCAAAGCTAAGAGAAAAAATCATTAACGTGCTCAACACAGGTAACTATTTTTCTTGAAGCAGTTAGGGAAGGTAATTCACACTGCAGGCAAATATAGATTTTACACAACAAAGCACGAGTTTGATGCATTAAGGCTGATGCACAAGGTTTCATTTCCTGGGGAGATGATTACGAGATGAAAGGCATACTCCAGAGTAATATTTTTGTTTCACCTGAAACACTGCAAAAACAATGAGTTCTGGAAAAGATCCAAAAACAAAGCTGTGGTGGCAGCTTCAGCCTGAGTCACCGCACTAACAGGGCATGTATATGTACTGTAAAATACAGGAATAAAGACTCCATAACAGCAAACGATTAAGAGAAGCTGGAGCGATATCTCAGCGATTCTTTACGAGGAAATCTCAGGACACCCTTCCCCAGTTACTATACTTAATCCAAGACGTTGACATCAAATATAAGGAAAAGAGTTCATGTTTTGTGCTGCTGTTAAGCAAAGGTTGCTGGAAGCGTTGTGAAAAGCGCAAGGAATAAAAGCCAGAAGCCATTAAAGACAACAGCACAAAAGGGTGATGTTGTCAAGTGTTTTACAAGGAGCGGGGTCATAATCGTGAAATCCTCAGCGCACGCAAAAAGTCAACTGGATAACAAAGAAACTTAATCATCTTAATGTGGCGTTTTAATGATGCTGCTGATTTGCTATGCCAATTCAGAGATAATGAGCCCCTAATGCTACAGATGTTCAGCCAGACTAAAGGAAAAAAAAAGGGAAAAAAAGAAAAGCTTTTCTTGTATGCCATTTCCTAAGTATCCAATTAAACAAATTGTGAAAGCAGATAAATAGTTTACCAGGTTTTGACAGCTGTTAATAGGATTCAGATGCTCAGATCCTGAAGAGCAAGAAGGGAGGCTCCTATCTGTGTGTGCTGAAGAATCCGTGCGACTACCTGGTCTGACAGGTATGAAGTGATGAATCATCTGCAAAAACTACCCCCAGAAATAGCAGTACGAGTGAAAAAACAGGAGCATACACTGCTACTCTTGGCCCCCTCATGGAACGTGCAATTTCTTCACCAAAGTCAGCTTAAAAAAGAACAGCCATAAACTGCAAAGGTAAAAGTCACTATTTTTTCAGAGGCAAAGCAGTTCTCTTTATCATTCTGATATCACTGCAGACATCAACTCTAGGGAACAGAAAGGGATTCACGACGACTCCTAATCAAGCCTTGCTGTTTTACCACTGATTCCAGTGACAAGATCAGTTTATGACAATGGCAGAGATGTTTTTATGAGATCATGTTTGCTAAGGAAGGAAGAAGCAGCCTCCAAATATCAGCTCTGACTTATTTTATGCTTATCTTTGTCCCTTCCAGTATTTTCAGCTTCTTAGTACTGTTGGTGCATATCCATGTTCTACAGAAACAAACGTCTATTTTGTTTAGGCACTGTATAAAACGTGGTTGAAGAGTAATTCCTAAATGAGCCAGTGCCGTACACACCTGGGGAAAATCTCACTTCTAAAAATAGGAGAGAAACTCATAATTCCCCTTTGTGGAACACACGCTCCGTGATAATTAGTCTCCTTGTTTTTATGGTTACTTGAAACAAAAATAGAAACGAGCCACACTGAAATGCCGCACTGAGAAGAACAAGAAAATCAGGCATCATTTTCTGAGCATTTGGATGTGCATCCTCTACTTCTTCAACACCAGTGTCTTTCTATCATTAAAACAGAATATTATTTATGCTGTTATACAATTAATTACCAAAAAAATCACACATGTGCTCCAAAGTGATGTGAGTTAGGAAACTTGAATTTAAACTGCTTCGTAAAGCATTTTATTTGAAGTTATACCGGTTTTGCTTTTCCTATAGAGATCTGTCTTCCTATACAGATCTGCAGTTTCATTATCTGAAGAGCTGCTGTTTTCCATCTATGCTGTTTGCCCTTCAATAACAATCAAGCATTTGCAGGGTTTTCTCTCAAAACGTTAAGCTGATACCTAACAGGAACCCTGCTCAAGGCCGTTACGGAACCGCATCCTTCCGTAGCGCCCGGGGCACCGGGCCGGACCGGGCAGCCGAGGGCCCAGCTCCTCCTTGTGCCCTCGCAGGTGAATTTTGCTCTGGTTATGGCACCTGCCAACATTATCCTTTCAAACTCTGGCATCCAAACCCTAATATCCCCCTGTTAAAAAAACCCCAAGATG